TGGGGTTTACAATCTACACTATTGGCTAATTTTTAAATTGGGGCGGGCAAAGGGAAGGGTCATAATTAAAATGGCTATTATTGGATACAGGTTGAGAAGACACATTTACATTCCAATTAAGGCTAAATACTATATTCTGATTCTTTTTTTTTGGAACAAAGATTAACCCCAGGGGTGCTTAATCACTGAGCCACATCCCTAGCCCTTTGTATTTTTTACTTTGAGATAGGGTCTTCTGAGTTGCTTAGGGTCTTGCTAAGGTTGAGGTTTTGCTAATTGCTGAGGCTGGCCTTGAACTTGCAGTACCCTGCCTTAGCCTCCCAGGCCGATGGGATTACAGGTGTGAACCAGCACAACTGGCTAAATACTATATTCTGAAAGTGGACCAATGTACTGTTTCTCACAACTTTTTGTGACCCAGCTCTAAATAATGAAACTAGATGTAGTTGTTATATGTTTTACTACATGCATCTGTTGCAATACTACATACTTTACAAAGTTTTTCTTGATGAACTCTGAAAAGTGAACCTTGTCCAGCCATCTACTCCAGGGGCAGAGGCAGGAGGATCTCAAATCCAGGCCAGCCTTGGTAACTTAGTGAGACTTGTCTTAAAATAAAATAAAAAAGGATAGTAATATTACTGAGTAATAGTGTACCCAGTATGGGGAAAAAAAAACCCTAAACAAAAACCCCTTAATTTTCAGTTAAATTGGGAAAGTTCTTTATTTTCAATCCAGGATAGTAATACATTCCTTATCTTTTTCAAAGAAAGGCTTTGAAGTGTTCACTGTTTCAAATTAGTACCTTGCAGTGTAGGTACATATGTGAGGATATCTTGTAAACTATAATGTCTCATTTATTATTCACTGTTTTGACTTTTGCTTTCCCTTGAGGCAACATTTCCCTCTACCACCATCCAAAGGACTAATACTGGTGTACTCAAGATATAAGGAACACTTTCTAGGATGTATTGGAGCACAGAGACTTTAATTTTTTTGGTGGGGGGGGTAGTGCTGGCAATGGAACCCAGGGCTTCATGCATGCTAGACAACACTACCATGGAGGTAGGCTACAACCAGAGACTCTATTTTAAGGTAATCAGTTCTAGATCTTCATTTCCCTTGAGTAAGCATTCCAAAACTTGATGTGTCAGATCATGTCCCCTGGGGTCAGGATGTAATGTGGGCTCCTCTCCAACCTCCTCTTAGCCTAATTGCTTTTCTTTAGCAAAGGCATAACTTTTCCTCTTATATAAAATCTTACTAAGGGAAAATACTTCTGCAAAAATCTTAAGGGCTTCAAAAAGGGACAATTGACTGGTGAATGAGAATGGGTAATATCCTTTCATATTTTGGGGGGTGTGTGTTCTGTTACCCATTTGCAAGCAAGTTGAAAGAGAACCTAATCAGAATTGCTAACTGCTAGATGATTAAAAGTGTTTTTTTTCTTTGTTAGAACTCTGTGATTTATTTATTTTTCATGTGTTAATGGGGATCGAACTCAGTGCCTCACATGTGCTAGGCAAGCATTCTGACCACTGAGCCACAAAACCAGCTGTGCAATTTTTTAAATTTTTGGTGGAAGGAGTTGGAAGAATTGAGTACCATGATTATGAGAACCACTATTCATTCTTTTCTGCTTATTTATGTGAAAAATTTTCTCAGTGCTTGTTATAAAGTCCTTGCTTAGCATCTGGATGGCCATCTTAAGTGACAGCTGCCACTTTAAGGAAAAAGTTTCGCTTTCCCGTCAAAGGGCCTTTCGGAGAAAAGCCAACTCTGATTTTTGAGCTTCCCCCATAAAAGTCCCAGAACTCAAGTCTATTTTGCCTCTCTCTCTCATAGAGAGATGGCCTTTATTTGTCATCTCTGACAAATAAACTCTTGTATGTATCTCTGCCTGGTCTCTGTCTCTCATTCCTGGCTTTTCCTTCACTTTGTGTCTATGGAATTGAAAACCTGGAAGAGAATCGATGCTGAACTCTTTCTTATTTCACTAATACTTATCCACTATTAAACTAGTTGGAAAAAGTCTACCCAACTCCATGTCCCAAAGATGCATTTCCAGTACATTTTTACTTTTGGGTTGAATATTTAATTACACAAAATTTCAAGATTACTTATTTCATCAGTTGAAATGAGACTTTTTTTTGGTACTGGGGATTGAACTCAGGGGCATTCACTCATGAGCCGCTTCCCAGCCCTATTTTGATTTTATTTAGAGACAGGGTCTCTCTGAGTTGCCTACCACCTCGATTTTGCTGCGGCTGGCTTTGAGGTCAAGATCCTTCCTCTCAGCCTCCCAAAATGTTGGGATTACAGGTGTGGGTCACTGCACCCGGCTGAAATGGAACTCTTAGACCTTTATGGTCACAGAAAATACACAACCTGTAAATTTCAACTTAGGTACACATTTTTACTACAGGGAAATTGGTAAGCTAATCAATAAGAGTTCAATATAACTGGATC